TTCATTTTCACTAACTCACTAGTTATATACATTTAACATTTTAACATTTTAAGTATGTGTTTCCTGCTTCTAGAAAATGAAAACAAAATTACACCTTTGTGCAAATTAATTGAAACAAAACAAATAGTTCTATTATTGTTTACTTTTTTTTCATATTTTTCACATGAAACATGACACAGCGCCTATGTTAGTACATCATATGTCCATTCCACAAAGTCGTTCCTTGCAGACTGATCACAGATTCTGGGATTGAATTTAAACCACGAATGTTTGGATTTGCTCACTGGTAAGGGTTGCCTGTGTGTTCGTGCTACATGACAATTTTCTTACGCTTCCTTGGAGTAAAGTACATTGCAGACAATGACTGTAGGACACCTAATCGACAGTCGAAACAATAGTGCCTGAGCGTGATAAAAATCTGATACAATTACGGATGAAGTAATATTTTTCAGAGCCAAAGAAATTTCATCATACACCCCGAAAATAGATTCATATTACTGCACACCACTGCAAATAACCCAACCTAGGACAAAATGGAAATCGATTAAACCCAGTGGGTTTATAACTGTCCGTATTGTGAAAGAAAGGAAATGTTTGTTTCAATTAATTGGCACAAGCGTGTATGCAGGAATTGTTTTTGCCAAAAATAATAGCGTACAGTTGACGACTATCTATCTGAGCCTGCGTCTAATTTGGAATCGGCGAGTCGAGTTCAAACCTCCGGTAAGTCTGTTGCGTTTACTATCGTACTAATGCTCTTGAGGATTGATAGAGTCGGTCTCTTCTTCCCGCAACCAGCTATGAATTAAATAGCAGGGAAGATGAGTCACTCTAGACTTAGGTGGTAACCAGTCTAGGAGAATTCAACCCCAAACAGTGGAGAATACAACGGGGAACCACTCCGTTATCTTTCCCACAAAAGCGAAGCAATTGCCAGGTAAGAATATGAATCTGTGACGAATTATGATCGTCTACGTCCTAGTGGGACAATTATTAAACTAAAATAACAGTTTCAATAATGTTCAATAATGATGTACATTGTTTACGCGTCGGCAATTATTTCGTCTTTATTCATGATTCGGTAGGAGGAAGCTGGTAAGTAGGAGGATGTGTGAGTGTTGTGGAGTATTTTTACAGTGGAGGCTTGTATTTCAATAAGTCGTCCTAAATTAGGTTCGACGTACAAAACATTAGGAACTTGGAAAATAGAGTTAATTACGCAGCAAATCTAGTTGTCGTGGTTGGTACTTCAATGTCCGATATCGTCTGACTACCTCAATGCCATTGGACCGAACTGGCGACCGCTACTGCTACTTATTGTCTATGGGAGAGTCCATTACCATAGAATAGGTAGCATAACACTGAGAGAAATAGCAAAGTAGACGGACAAAAAAATGGGGAGGCGCAATGATGCTTAGAAACAAGGGCATACTGAGACATGTAAGTCCCCATTACACACGGGCGTATATTTTTATTCACATTATCTAAGAGAGCGAAATGATGGAATTTAAAAGATAACTGTCCATATATTACAAAGAAAAAATTAGTTTCTTTGGTGTCCTGATCACCTGCGCCGTGAAGGGTCTTAGCATAGCGAAACATGTCAATATAATTTCCTATATTAATTTCGCTTATTTTTCTCTATGATCGACTAAGTCTAACTTTAGAACTATCGATATATACAAGATGGTACTAAAAGGTTCATGCTCCGACCATGAATACATAAAAAAAATCTTACAATATTTCACTTGTTTAGAATTTGGAAAGTGCATCTTAGAAAGGAATTTGCAGCACCCTTTCGCAGATTTAGATATACATACAAGTTGGTCTTTGTATTATATTAGCTGTCATTAACTGGGGCTTTTATGTCTCAGTTTCTTTTCGAAAGTCACTTGCACAGGTCAAACTCAATATCTTCTTGACAGTAGATATATATCAATGAATGCCAATGTGACTCGCTACAAGGAAATTGGATTCATGCTTTCATCCCAATCTTAATCATTTTTCATTTTTATCTGAATCATTTTTCCGGATTCTTACCAGCTGTGAATACCGACAGTTTCACACATTGATGTATAAAAACGAATTGCGATGACTGGGAGATTCAGTGCGTTGCTTTGGGGAAGGCAAATGGAATGAAAAGACTGTTCAAGACATCTGCCATCTTTAAACTGACCACTGACTAATGCGTTTCCGGTTGTCTTCGATTGCACTTCTTTTTCAATGGACGAACACACAAGAGAGACAAGCAGAGACGTTGACAGGGATTATTGCCCGCGTTTCTCAAACAGAAATGGAGATGTTTCACACACTTTCCAATCGAATGTCATTCTACTGCTTAGGATAAATTATGCAAACGCAGAGTAAGTGAGTCACCCGAAGAAATATTTAATATTTGAATTTATGAACGAATAAAAGTAAAAATAGTGAATAGTATTTATAATAGACTAACAAATAAAATGGAAGAGAAGAAGAAGAAGAAGAAGAAGAAGAAGAAGAAGAAGAAGAAGAAGAAGAAGAAGATCCAAAGAAGATGAAGAAGAGGAGGAGAAAGAAGAAGACAAAGAAGAAGATGAAGAAAAAGAAAATGAAGGAAAAAGATGAAAAAAGAAGAAGAGGAAAAAGAATAGAATGTAAAAAATGAAGGAAAAGATAAACATTAGTTTTAGAAGATGACAAAAAAGGAATGTTGCAGAAGAATAAAGAGAAGAAAAACAAAAGAAGGAATGAGTATATATCGAAGAAAAAGAAAGATGACAAGTCGAAGAAGAAAAAAAGAACTAAAAAGAAAACATGGAAAAAATAAAATATTTACTCGTATTAAAAAAAATGACCCTTTTTAAACAAATATATTTGTAACGACAAAACCACAAAGATATTGAAACAAACATGTTTGAATGTCTTATGTAATTGTTTGTACATGTTTTTATAATGTTATATAAATTAAGAAATGGACTAAGTCCAACAAGTATTTTAATATATTTATTATTTATGCATTATGTTTATAGATAAAAATATTTAAGTAAATGATGTGTTTATAATAAACAGTATTAACAACATTTACCAGCTCGAATCTCTGAGAAATGTTATAGAAAATATGTGCATTCCGACAGGAATCGAGACTCTATCCGAACAGAAGCATCTTGTAGCCTACCGTGCTATACTAGTTTAGCTACAGGATAAGTAGTAATTCAAACTTGCTAACAAGATGCTTCCTCTGTAGCTAAATGGTATGGCACAACAGGCTATATAATTGTTCCGTGTAGGATGCAGGTTCGATTCCTCTCGGAGGACACGTATATTCTATTGAATTTCTCGGATATTCAGGTCGGAAAGTTTTGTTAATACTGTTTATTACAAACAGGGCAATTATTTACATATTTGTATTCATAAAAATAACGTATAAACAACAAATACATTAAATTAACGTTGTATATATAATTGTTGTATGTTGATGTTCAAGTGATTGTTTTCGTGTAAGTGTCTGTATATATGTGTAAGTTGACGTTGTAAACAAAGAAAAACTAACAGAAAAGTGTTTAGAAAAGAAGATATCTTCTTAGAATTAGAAACGAAAGAAAAATAAATAAAATATAAAAGAAATGAAGAAGGGAAAATGCTGGAAAATATAAGAAGGAAGATAGTAATGAATATGAAATGTTAAAAAACTATTGATAAAAGATGTCCCTGCATTTTATATATTATATATATATATATATATATATATATATATATATATATATATATATATATATATATATATATATATATGACACTAGTATTCGAGAATACCCGTCTACTAGCCATTCTCTATTGCAGACGCTTGCTTAGGCGAATTTGTGGTAATTTGACACCCACAGAGACAACCTGTGGTTTATACTGCGGACTAATACTGAGCAGACGTTAGTTACAGTTTCCGGGAAACAGTGGGATCAACAATTTGAACAAGGCCACGATGACTTGTGATTCCATGCTAGCAAAGCTATCGATGGCACCCAAGTGTTCCGTCTACTCACTAGTCTTGGGTCGTGTTATGGTTGTCAGGCACTATGCAAATGTTCCGCACGCTGTGATCGACCCCTCCAGTCTGATAACATCATGAGGTCTGGGACCCGTGTCTGATGGTCAGAATTCGAACGTTCTAATCACACGGCCACGTGCACTTCATCCTGTACTTATTGGATACAATATCGCTTTGAACCAATAATCTCCTCTGCTTCTGAATGACTCTCTTAGACTCTCTTTAAGCAATCAGTTTCTTTATCTGTTTATATTTCTGAGATGAGGTATTATTTACATTATTATTATTATTATTATTATTATTATTATTATTATTATTATCAGGACAATACTTCGAATAATGTAAATAATGTACAATCAGTTTCTTATTCGAATATTTCTATTTTTTCTCTTATTCATCACGCAACTCTTCCCCAACATTCTCTGAAATATTACCTCCGCAAACTCACCTCCCCTCTGAGCAGATTAGAAATTCTGCGTGCGATTTCAGCCCCACAACCACAGAAAGACCCTCCCTTCAACAACTGGAACTCAGTTTCAGCAAAGCGTGAGCTTAGCGTCAAACTTACCATTTATTATTCTCATTTCGCATTGCCTACGCGTCATTTTTTTGTTCCACCTTTGTATTCGCTTCATTTTTTTCTTCGGCCTTACTTGATTTCTTAGCCATCGGGAATGTTTGATCGTAGCCAGCAGGGGTCGCTTTGAGATTTCAAAACCAATTTAGAATTTCACGAATGACCGGAGACAAGGCAAATAGAGTGGGTCACACTCCAGTCCACAGAAATGTGATCAAGTGTAGAAAGACGCAGGCAAAGTGCCACCTAGCGGCTATAACGTCAACTTACCATTACAAATAGAATTAGAAGTAGCACTACAGTAGTTGTTACTGTGGCCTTGGCATAATAAAAGAGGTTGATTCCAATTATGGTTTGATAAGACACCGTTTTGTCTAAGAATATTCTATTGGAATAATTTTGTTAAAACAAAAAACAGTGTCGATGCAACCTTTGGTGAGGAGGGTAAAAATGTCTGGCTATTTCAGTTTCGGTTTTATATTGATCTGAGAATAGTTCAGTTGAATTGAAGATGATGTTAGATTTATAAACACTGTATTGCATAGATAGATAGATAGATAGATAGATAGATAGATAGATAGATATTGATCGTTCTGTGTTTGATAGATAGATAGTTAGATAGATAAATATTGATCGTTCTGTGTTTGATAGATAGATAGATAGATAGATAGATAGATAGATAGATAGATAGATAGATAGATATTGGTAGTTCTGTGTTTGATAGATAGATAGATAGATAGATAGATAGATAGATAGATAGATAGATAGATAGATAGATATTGGTAGTTCTGTGATTGATAGATAGATAGATAGATAGATAGATAGATAGATAGATAGATAGATAGATAATGGACCTTTATGAGTTTGATAGATAGATAGATAGATAGATAGATAGATAGATAGATAGATAGATAGATAGATATTGGTAGTTCTGTGTTTGATAGATAGATAGATAGATAGATAGATAGATAGATAGATAGATAATGGACTGTTCTGAGATAGATAGATCGATAGATAGATAGATAGATAGATACGAGTACTATTAGTAAAAGAATTCCTTCAATGTTATTTTATTGGACAACGCTGTCATAATTTGCTATTTGTGGCAATTCAGATGTTGAGCCGTCGCGCTAATAGAACATATTGTTTATAACGTCATTAAAGATATTGTTCTGGCAAAATGTCATTTCAGATGAAAGTGGTCAGAAAGATAAAGTGTGTCATTGAAATACACCATAAGGAAAAAAAAACGCAGTAATTGAGTTTTATGATTGTTTACATGTATATTATTCAGCAACTTTTAGCAATTTAACTACTTTAAATCAAGGTAAGGCTTCAAGAACACCAGAAAGCTGTAACGCGAGGGGAAGTAGAAAAATCAGGCGTGGCTGACCACATATGGAGAGAGAAGGGAGATCACCGCCCCCTGTGGGATCATGTTGAGATCATAGACAGGGAACACCATTGGAAAATTCGTAAACTTAAGGAATCAGCACATATGCTAGGCCACAAAAATCTCCTGAGCCGACCAAGCATAGAAATAAATACAATATGGGAACCAGTAATAAGGAGTGCCAGAGAAAAGCAATGATAACAAAGTTGCAATATGAACTCTGGTAAAGACATGCAATGATAACAGCAAAAAATTGCAATATGAGCACTGGTAAAAATGATGCTGAAAACATTAGGTTTATAATACTCAGAAGTTCAAGGACACATGGCACAGTGGATAAAGGCGTTGGTTAGATCCAGTGACAGAAGGTGAGTTCAATTCCTGGTTAAGGCAGTGGAGAACTTTCAGAGGGAAAATTAGCAGGAGATAACTGATAACTGACATCCATCAAACATGGCACGTGGAATTAGAACAGTCTACCCCAGCGATCGAAATAAAGGGTTCAGTTCGAAATTCCAACCACCTGAAGAAGGCCGGAGCGTACAACGGCCGAAACGTTGTAACAAATATGGCGACAAAGATGAGGACAATAGTCCGACTAATGTAAATACTGTACATAATACCTCATCTCAGAAATATAGACAAACTCTGAAGGATCGTTACGGACCCGATATACCAAAAATATGGAGAAAAATTGAGAAATCCTACCAAAAACTGGCACGAATATCGAACCATCTGACATTCCTACACCGATGCAGAGACCTACAACTCATCCCTTCAGGCTTGGCACCAAGACTTCCTATCAATTCAAGGAGAGCTCGTCGGGTCGCAGAGAAAGCGGGACACGCCCTTGTCCGAGAGAGAATCCAGTACAACCGTTGGATGAAACATCGAGTACATGCTCATATCTCCCAGACGCTCGAGGATCTCTTCAACAGAATTGAATGAAGAAGACCAGAGAAGGATCCAAAATGACCTGGATAAATCCTTCAGACATGAATTTGAAGTAGTCAAGGCTCGCCAAGTGCAAAAATTAAATAGATTGAAAGATCAGAAGGTGACGCACAAGGTCCATCACCCACCAGTGAAAGCAGTAGTCAACATCAGCCAATATCAGCTGAGTGCCTCTGAGGAGTCAGTATTGAATAAGGGTCTCAACTTCGCCACAACCATCAGGCGGGTGCCATACTTGGACATCATTGCCAGAGTAGAGGAGGTGGCCTTGAACATCCCTCAGGCTCAGGCGGATGAAATGAGATGGAAAGTGAGACAGGCCTTGAGAGAGCCAAGCTGCCCAGGTCTAACATAACAAAACTGGAGAGACTGGCGATTGAATCACTACAGAGGAATGAGAACATCATCATACTACCGGCTGACAAAGGTAATGCGACTGTAGTGATGGACAAACCGGACTATACAAGAAAACTGGAAGACCTCATTAGCAATGGTAGCTACAGCATAGTGAAGAAAGATCCTACTATGAAAACGGAACGCAAACTGTCACAGATCCTAATCAAGAACAAGGATCACTTCGCACCCAAGACGTATAGGCAGTTAACGCAGCGTTACAGCAAGTTACCTCACATATACGGTCTCCCTAAGATTCACAAAGACGGTATTCCACTCAGGCCGATTGTTAGTTGCCAAGGCTCTGTGTGCCACCCTCTGAGTCGCTTCCTTGTAGATATAATTGACCCATTGATCGGAAAGTCTCCTTCATATGTCCGAAACTCCGCCCACTTCGTGGAAATAATCAAAGATGCTCCCATTCTATCCAACCAGATGGTGAGCTTGGACGTGGTGAGTCTGTTCACCAAGGTACCCACGGAGGAGGCACTCTCAGTAGTCAGAGATAGATTAACCTCTGACTCTTCCCTAGAGGAGCGGACCAGTATTCCAATAGATAATCTGATGGAGATGTTGACTTTCTGTACACAAACAACACACTTCGGAATGGGATCTCACATATATCGACAGGATGAGGGCTTAGCAATGGGCTCGCCATTATCACCAGCAATGGCGAATATATACATGGAATACTTTGAAGAAATGGCATTAGAGTCTATATCGCTAAAGCCAACTATATGGTTACGGTACGTAGATGACACTTTCATACTCTGGCCACATCAGGAAGAAGTCCAGGTTCTTCTGGACCATGTGAACTCAATAAGACCTTCGATACAGTTCACAATGGAGAAAGAGAGTAACAACTCACTCCCATTCCTGGATGTACTAATATCTCGAACAGAGAATGGGTTCAAGACATCCGTATACCGTAAACCAACATTCACCGGACAGTACCTCAATTTCAACTCCCACCATCCATACAGCGTAAAGAAAGGGATCGTCCGATGCTTACAACATCGAGCAAAAAGTCATAAGTGGCGATCCAGAGACGTTAGATAAGGAATTGGTCAGTATAAGTAGTACCCTACAACGCAACAACTACCCTGGGTACATGGCAGCAGCCCCCAAAAAACTGGGATAGGCGGGTACAAGAGGAGGAGGAGGAGGAGGACAACAACACTCAGAAAACAGTCTGCCTGCCTTATGTGAAGGGGTTATCAGAGAAAATACAAAAGATCTGCGGTCCATATAACATCAGGACAACCTTCAAAAGCGTGACAACACTTCGCAGGTATCTCTCACGAGTGAGACCCCCATAGAGAGGAACATGACTAAAGACTGTGTATACGCTATCCCATGCAGCTGCGGAAAGGAATATAAAGGAGAGACAGGCCGCCCCCTCAAGGTAAGGCTTCAAGAACACCAGAAAGCTGTAACGCGAGGGGAAGTAGAAAAAATCAGGCGTGGCTGACCACATATGGAGAGAAGGAGATCACCGCCCCTGTGGGATCATGTTGAGATCATAGACAGGGAACACCATTGGAAAATTCGTAAACTTAAGGAATCAGCACATATGCTAGGCCACAAAAATCTCCTGAGCCGACCAAGCATAGAAATAAATACAATATGGGAACCAGTAATAAGGAGTGCCAGAGAAAAGCAATGATAACAAAGTTGCAATATGAACTCTGGTAAAGACATGCAATGATAACAGCAAAAAATTGCAATATGAGCACTGGTAAAATGATGCTGAAAACATTAGGTTTATAATACTCAGAAGTTCATACCCAGATGTCCTCAAGGTCACATGGCACAGTGGATAAAGGCGTTGGTTAGATCCAGTGACAGACCCAAAGAAGGTGAGTTCAATTCCTGGTTAAGGCAGTGGAGAACTTTCAGAGGGAAAATTAGCAGGAGATAACTGATAACTGACATCCATCAAACATGGCACGTGGAATTAGAACAGTCTACCCCAGCGATCGAAATAAAGGGTTCAGTTCGAAATTCCAACCACCTGAAGAAGGCCGGAGCGTACAACGGCCGAAACGTTGTGACAAATATGGCGACAAAGATGAGGACAATAGTCCGACTAATGTAAATACTTTAAATCTATATTACAAGCAAAATGCAAAATGTTTTATATTGTCGCAGAATATTGCATCGTACAATTTTACAAATTATAACAGTTTGCAATATGGGATCAAACTCAAGTTTGAAAAAAAAAAAGGATTACACGGAGTTTTGCTTAGTTTTAAATTGTTCTGAAAAATGTTCGTTAAAACACATTGTAAAAACGGGCAAATATCGTTAATTTCTGAAAGCAAGCATAGGAGTCATGTAAATACACATACAGACTAAGCAAATTCTATTTGCAACATACACGTTGATAATACAAATATAATATCCTCATCCACATGTAAGAAAAGATTAAAAATAATGGAAGCATTATTAATAAAAACAAAATGAAAAAGCCAACATTTAATGATATCAACTATGAACACAGCCACAATATGTTGACCGTCTTTTGAAAATAAATCATTCCCATAACTCTACATGTGTGTAATTTATAATACCCAGAAATTCATACACAGATGTCCTCACGCTATTATCCACTGTTCCATGTGTCCTTGAAGACACATGGCACAGCGGATAAAGGCGTTGGTTAGATCCAGTGACAGGACCCAAAGAGTGCGAGTTCAATACCCGCCTATGGTAGTGGAGATCTTTCAGAGGGAAATTAACAAGAGATAACTGATAACTGACACCCATTAAACATGGTACGTGGAACTAGAACAGTCTAACCCAGTGAGAGAAATAAATTGTTCAGTCCGACATTTCAACCATCTGAAGAAAGCTGGAGCGTACAACGGCCGAAACGTTGTAATAAATATGGCGACAAAGATGAGGATAATAGTCCGAATAATGTGAATAATGAACATGTGGCTTATATAAAGAATCCATGAAATGCAGTTTTGATTCAAATATCCTCTTTCTCTCCCTTCATGTACGTGTGTGTGTGTGTGTGTGTGTGTGTGTATGTTATATCCTGGACGTGATTAACCATGTATTTCCACATGTATTCACATTGCTTTAATCATATAAGTTCGTGCTTACTTCCGTGTACAGTAGCTTTCGAATTAGCATTATTCATATGAATGAAAAACTTTAATTTGTTCCGAGGTTTAAGCAATATATATTTAGGTATCACGCCTTAGTGCAGTGAAATTGGAATCTAGTTTCTCATAGCATTACTCTTGTCCTGAGTCTATACTTCAAAGTGGTTCTTCTACATTGGGTAC